AATTCAAATTGTGTGATGTTTGCCATTTTAAAAAATACAATTTGCATGCTACTGATATTATACTAATCATACATCAAACTTTTAATTTAAAAGTATAAAACTCTAAATAAGTTTAAGTGGTGATTATTTTCTAATTCTTGGTTATTATGACATATTTTATAAAATTATATAATCTATTTTTTAGATTTGATATACAATTTAATTTATACCCCATGAATGCCTTAATGTTTTCTCATACAATTTATGATTTATTTAATGCATTAATTATTGAGTTAGTTTTACCGGTAGTGACTAACTTTTTATATATACAATTCAAATTCTATGCTTAAGTGCCTCCCAATTTGAGACAAAATTTAAAATTACTGATTATTCGGGATTTTGCTAAATATTTATATAATTATATTATTGACTATATCTGTTGGTTTTTGAAAATATTTTATATTTAATTAACTCATCGAAACTGAAAATTTACATTTCATCACATCATTCGTTATACTGTAAACACAATTGCCTTAAAATATTGATATAAGTTATTTTATATGACTTATATTGTTTATTAAATAATTAAAAATTATGACAAATCATTGTAAGACTAGAATATAATACAATGTAATTGAATGTCGGGATTTGTATAATTAAATGGTAATAAAATATATTTAACTTATTTTGATTTATTCTTGCATTAAAATTCAATTTATTTACAGTAAATAACATCAATATTTGTATCAATAAAAATAATTTGAATGCAAAACTTTAGTAAGAATTGATTGAAATTGAGAATTATTTAACAACATTATTTTGAAATTAAAGTTTTACACTTTTACCCTGTTATCGTTAAATGAACATAAACAATCATGAGTTATCACAATAGATTATTAACACTTAATTATCAATTGATAAAGACATCGTCATCGATGTCCATATCAAAAGAAGTTGAGTTATTGTTTTGTGGAATACTTCTGGTGGTGCTCTCCAAAGACTTCTTCCTTTTGACATAACTGACAACTCTTAGAGCGGAACCATTGGTCTGATGGCTGAGAGTATTTGAATGGCGAGCATCTGTTCTCAGTTCCCAACTTCTTCTGGAGTCTGCATTCAATTTATTCTTAAATTTCTCTTTCATTACTGTTAGCGCCGTTTCGTCGATCTGATTGTCATTTGTGTTTCTTTTGCACATATATTTACTTTCATTGAAGAGTTTAGTTAATCTAATGGCGTATCCGGTTATGGATAGCGAGGAACATATAATACTGAATATTCCGACAGAATTGTCCAAAACTCTAGTTTTTAATATCATTAGTATATTGGCAGTGATTAGCATAAGAACGATGAGTGAAATGATTGCCATTTCAATCGTAAGCTTTTTATTGACAATCCATTGGACATCGCACTGACCGATCAAATGAAGGAAATATATTATAAATGATATCAAACACGAGATTATTGTGATTACGGAGAAGAATAATAAGACTGGAATCAGACAATTATGAGGACTTGAGTAGTCGTCCGACTGATCGCACGGGCGCTTCATTTTAGAGCAAACAAATGCTATCAATGAGGACAACATGATTGTCACCAAAATGATGCCATGAAATACGGAACTGGAGGTCGAACTTTCCACTGCATTCAACTCAATCTCTTTTGATGAAGCACTGGTCACTCCAGTGATGCTCTCGTGTCGAAAATTAGGCGGAAGTTTGGGTCCAAACGAGCCGTTGGAGCGAATGGACGACTCGCTGCGTCTGGACTTCGGTGCAGTCGGCGGACAACTCCTGGTTTGAGCCAACTTTTGCTTCACATCCGGCTCTTTATAATAGGTCTGAGACTGAGTTCTCTCCAAAAATGACATTATTTTTGGGTTTAATGTCTAATATATTCATCAGTACTATTTCGTGAAGAATAACACATTACTAACAATAGTAGTGATTCTTGAGTATATTTCTATAATAACATCGATATAAATGTCAAAAAGTGTTTCATTTGAATCGAGAGTTTAATCCTGTTTTAAAAGCATATATTAACGTCAAAATACAACTATTTTTATTTTGTGCGATTGTGTTAAGTACAGAAATACAGGCGCTTTTGGATCATTGAGCGGATGATTGTGTGAAGAAAACATCCGGAGATAGCAATTAGAGGAAAGAACTCTATTCTGTGAGTTAGCCTACAATACAATGCTATTGCAAACAACTCAATGCTTGCGATCAACATTTCACAGCTATTTTCAAATCAATTTTCTGTCATTTCTTGTTTATAACTGTTTTAGAAAAACAACTACATTTATATCAAATTAATTGTTAATATTTACTTTGCATCCAATCAAAAGTCTATTCAAGACATTTACTTCTACAAATGTATTTGTCATTAACATAATAGTAATAAATAACCAATAAATAATGATTTTGCAATATTTTTAAAACATTTAACACTAATAGTAAAGCATAGAAAAGCATAATTTAAAAATTTTATTTGTTGGCATTCAGTTTGTGTTGGATTATATTTCAAACATTTTTTATATTATTGTTAAGCATCACAAAATTTTACTTTTTATTTAACTAATAACTAGTTTTTGACGAGGATTTATATCATAGCATTTTGTTGGAATTTAATACAGAATTGTTGTACAAAATTGAGTTATGTTTTGAACATTTGGTGAACTTTATATACAGTTAGTACAGTATATCGTAATATTTTATATATTATTTTAAGTCATAAAACGGAAGATTAGTTATTATCTAAAGGTTTAAATGGAAAATCAATATTTGAAGTAATTTTAGATAATATTATTTGTAGTTAACTCACTAAAAAACAATTTTTAAAAGTAAAATCAAATATTAATGAAAAAATGTTTACTTAAGTCAGAAGCAGAGAAAAAAATATTCAGTGAAAATGTATGTGTATTTTTGAAAAGTGATTTCTGAATAAACAGTATCAAATTATTTGTAACTTCAGCCAAATATTACTAAAGAATCGATTGTAAGACAAATTCTCTACCAAAGGATCCAAACAACTAAATTGTAAGTCAAATGTTTTATGATACTGTTATGATATATTATATCAATTTTATACAAATACTGGTATAATGAAAATTCTTATAAAATTATTGTTATTGTTTTTAGATTTGTAATTTCATAGATAAATAAGAGAGTTAGCTTAAATAAATCTAACTATTTTTATTAATCAATAATTATGATTGAACAAATTATTTAAAGTATTTTCAATAATTATTTACTTTTATATATAGTAATACTATAACTATAAATATGTAGTAAAATATTCAAGAAAAAATATTATCACTTAATTATATTAAAAACAAACTTGTTTTCAATGATGATCTCATCCTTTTTTATTCTAAACTTAATATTTAGACATTTTAATTTGAGATGAATGTAAATAATACAGTATGCCTTCACTCACTGAAAACATAATTTAGGATTAAATTATAATAATGTTAATATTTTTTTGTGCGGTAATAATATGTGATTTATAAATATACTCTTATTAAAAGCTTTGGTTTTGTATCTATTAATAACAATGAATGAAATATAAATTTATTTGTATCATTAGTTCGTGGTTTATATACAATAAAAATCAATAAGATTATATGGAAATTTTAATATTATTTAGTTGTATGTCAGCACGCAATCCAATTTCTAAATATTTGCAATTGTTTTTACAAATCTTATGTTTTATATTTTAACAAAGATTTTAGAGAATTTGTTTTATTAAGCAAAATAAATACTTTATCTAACTATTTTTATTAATCAATAATTATGATTGAACAAATTATTTAAAGTATTTTCAATAATTATTTACTTTTATATATAGTAATACTATAACTATAAATATGTAGTAAAATATTCAAGAAAAAAATATTATCACTTAATTATATTAAAAACAAACTTGTTTATCCTTTTTTATTCTAAACTTAATATTTAGACATTTTAATTTGAGATGAATGTAAATAATACAGTATGCCTTCACTCACTGAAAACATAATTTAGGATTCAATTATAATAATGTTAATATTTTTGTGCTGTAATAATATGTGATTTATAAATATACTCTTATTAAAAGCTTTGGTTTTGTATCTATTAATAACAATGAATGAAATATAAATTTATTTGTATCATTAGTTTGTGGTTAATATACAATAAAAATCAATAAGATTATATGGAAATTTTATTATTATTTAGTTGTATGTCAGCACGCAATCCAATTTCTAAATATTTGCAATTGTTTTTACAAATCTTATGTTTTATATTTTAACAAAGATTTTAGAGAATTTGTTTTATTAAGCAAAATAAATACTTGTGTATTGATCAATAAAATTACATATTAATAATAATATTTATGACAATTCTCTGACTTGTGAGTTATAGATTATAACATACTGTGTACAGTATTGTATATTTTAATTAATACAAATTTTAATAGAAAATATCTGAATGAATGGGATTATTATAAGCATTGCATAAATTAACCCTAATTAAATCAAATAAACTGAGCCCTCTTAATTCTATCAATGTATATGTACCGTATATTGTTTACTTGTCAAAAATTAAAACAATGTTGTTATTAATATTATTGCTAATGCTTTCAATATTAATTAAATTAAATGCCAATTTGATTGACCTAACTAAATATAGAAAAAAAAGAATTGAAATTCTGTTTTAACTAAATTGTTTAATAGAATATTAATTTTATCAAAAATATCTGACATAACTTTTATTACTTAATAATTGGGAGAGAGAGAGGGAGAGAGAGAGAGAGAGATGTGTTGTTTCCAAATAAAAAGGGAATGAGTGTTGTGTTGAATATAAAGTAAATTAAAGAATTTACTTATGGTATGAAAAGCATTAAACTTATTAATAACAACACATTTCGGTTTCCGTGGAAATAATTATTTCTATACAACAGTTATATTGAGATCTATTTGTATTATAAACGATATAACGATCGAACTCTCAATAGTCTATCGATAGACATGAGAGGCAGTGGTTGTGAAGTCAAGTCTCAAATCTCTTGGCAATTGGACACAAGAGATTGGGTTGTCTTTTCTGATAGACTTGTTGCGTGAGTTACAGTCATTTTGGAAATGGTTAAGCACTCACATCATTCATCACTTAAATAGTTATTCTCTATAGTGCTCTACAAAACTACTATACAGTGTAGCAGCGAATACCAAATGCTTTGCTTTTGCAATGAATTCATATCTAAAGTGAAGTCATTTCGACGAATAAATCTCTGAATGCTTTCAAACAGCTCTCCGTTGACTGAGAATGAGAGCGCCGGTAGAAGACGTGGAAAATCGGGCGCAGGTGTCAGACATCGCCTCAATTGTCTGCCAACTCTATCCTCACTTCATTCACACTCTTCCTCTTCAGTCAAAAAGAACAAGAGTTTGAAAGTAGGGATGAATACGAGTAAACCGATCAAAACGACCACAAAGAAAGACAATTTCGTGATTAAGTTAGGGAATCAACAGTTTATGCAACACATGACCAAAACTGGCACCTCTTCGATGTCCGTCAACAAAGACAAGGAAGAGAGCGGTGACCAGTGTTTCACTTTTCAACAGAAAGTCAAAGTGTTTTTTGTTCTTTTGATGATTCCATCAGCGGTTGTGGTCTTCACTAACAATAATAAGTTCAATAACGACAACAACTCAAACCAATTGCAATACGATCCGAGGACAGGCCATCCATACCTTCCCGGACACTTTCCCGGAGCTGGAGCCTTTCCTAATGGTATGCCCGGGGGTTATGGGGGAGGCTTTCCTGGCAATGGATTCCCTGGACAAAGATTCCCGGGCCGAGACGGACGACCGAATTATCCCGATTGGATGCGACGACCTGATGACCCGGGAGAGGCCATGCGAGAGCGTCAGTGTCTATGAATTTAATTGTTATATAATTTATATATTTTTAATTCTAAATGTAAGCAGATTTGGAGCAAATGAATGGCAGAAACGAAGAAAACGAAAGCTATGATCCGGAAGACAAGAATTTGTATAATAATAATGAAGAGATTGAAAAGCATTTTATGAATCAAATGTCAGACACAGAACCACACGAAGAGCCGAATGAAAGAAAAGATGAAAAGCCAGTGAATAACGTGGAAAACAGCAAAAAGTTAAACGAAAAGCAAATTGAAACGAATGCTAAGAAAGAGGAAGTACAGCATTCATCAGACAGTGGAAAGACTGCTCCCGTCAAAGAATCCGGAAATTCTGATGTGTTTATGAAACCCAATGACAAAGAAATGAAGACAATTATGTTGTGGACACCGATTGATGAGCCCGTAATGGAAGGCAATCAGGCATTCATTGACGCAAAATGTGTTATTAATAAATGTATTTTTGTAACCAATAAGTTATTAGTGGATCAAAGCGATGCCATAGTGTTTAGTGCACGACATTTGCCAACATATAAACCGCCAAACTTTAGGTCCAAACAACAGAAATGGATTTTCTTTAGCAGTGATTCGCCTCAATATGACACACAGGAAGAGCTCAACTCAATGTCTCTGGCATTCAACTGGAGCTGGACTTATAGGTCGGACTCAGACATCATATACAACGCGGCAAATGTCGAGCAAATGGATTGGGAAAGCAATAAGTCGTTCAAAGACTCCGATATCTTCTATGACTGGAGAAAGAAAACTAAAATGATTTTATCGATTCAACACAATTGCCATCCAAACAGAGAAGAGAGTAATTATGTGAATCAATTCAAGAGTTATATAGACATTGATATTCACAGCAAATGTTCTGATAATCAAAATCCAATGGATATAACAAATCAAACTGAACTGAAGGCGCTGTCAGAAAAGTATCTCTTTATCCTTGTATTCGAGAGCTATTGCAAAGACTTTGTGAGCAAACGATTGCATCAATATCTAGAGCACAGTATAATCCCTATCGTGAAGGGCGGCGCCGACTATTCAAAAATAGTTCCGCAAAATTCTGTCATCAATACCAATGACTTCACTTCAGCTAAAGATTTAGCGGATTATGTGTTAGACATCGGCACTGATTTCCAAAAGTATAAGAAATTCTTTGAATGGAAACGCAATCATAAGATTAGTTACAAGAGGAAAGATTTTTGCCAACTTTGCGTCAAATTACACAAACGGGACAACTCTGGCCACCACTCCTTCCAACTCAAGGAGTGGTGGTTTGCAGGCACCCACTGTAAGCACTGACTTATTACAGATAATCAATACTTTCGTCACTATTTCAGGCCTTATTTCAAGAGTCGTTTTGTTAAATAAATGTTTGATTATATAAGCGCACAAATTTTTTAATTTTGTTATCAATTCTTACATTTCAATAAAGTTAATTTATAACTAAAATGCAAACTGTCTCCATTTAATTACACTATTTAACACAATTTGCAATATACTAGATATTAGATTTATTTAGATACTATATAGGATTTTAGATTTCAAAATTAAAATTAAATCAAAATTGAATACTGAAAAGTATGTATGCTAATAATTTGCAAATACTTAAATTTAGAATAGATTTTAAAATTGTTTTACATGCAAATTACTATATTTTACAAACAAAAACCTTCAGTTTAAAAGTAAATAAATTATTTTATTAAAATTATTTAATCATTGAAATAATGATTACTAAGAATTAGTAACTAGCTAAAAGAATAACAGAATTGGGTTCAATAATTCTATGGCTATATAACTAGAATAAACTCATCACAAGCAATACCTACCATTTGGTTGAGGGTGTGACCGTAAAATGTCATAAAATATTCCTAATGATAGTGATTAATTCTAATGAGAAAATTTTTAAAAATATTTGTTTCCAATAAATTTTAAAACATTTTAAACTCATTACCGGTACTATAAAAATTTTAATGTTCTGACAATAATTATTTATTCTTATAATAGATCAATCAACAATTCATAATTATATAAACAATTTAATAAAATTATTTCCAATTAACGTAAACATTTGTTATACAAAAATACAAAATAACTTACAAATATATTATACAGTAATTATGACAATTTAAGGGCAAAAATACAATTAATTTTGATTGAGTGAAAGCGCTGAAAATTTATTGTGCAAAGTGTTGCCTCCATTTGTGCGCTTATTCTTCTTACGGCCTCTCATGCCCTGAATGTGAGTCTTTCTGGTCGTCACATCCAAACATCGGACAAATTTGTTTGGATCCATGTCTTCAAACACATGTCCCAACAATCGCTTGAATATATTTGTGGCCAAAGATTGTCGACCAAACAGTTGCGACAAATAGAGAACCGGATCTTTACGTGAAGACAACTCGACGGTCAGGTTGTAAATGAATGGGCCGTTCAGACAGAAGAAAGGAATTCCCATTTGGAAGGGCTGTCCGAGTAATATATTAAGCCATCGAACCACTCGAATACAGTCCTGGAGTTGGTTATAGAAGTGGACGACACGGGGCTGAAAGAGTTTGGCCGAGTTGTGCAGTGGACGGCCATTGAATTTCGATAGATTCACAATCGATTCTTTCAATTGATTTTTGTCGAATAAAATGAATTTGATTTTGTTATACGAATCCAAATATCCGCAAAACATTATACTTGTGAGCAATGAATATATGAATTCATACCAAATTTCATGACTACAGTTACGGAACCAATACTTCATTATAATGACGAGAAAAACGGCTCCATTTATGTCATTGTATTTGTACTCAAATATGCAATCATCGCAAACAAACAGATTCTCTGTCTTCTTAAGCAATTCCTCATCGATTGCAAGAATGTCTGCCAATAATAGTCTTCTCTCATCGATGGAGAT